GCGGAGCCCCGTGCCCCTCAGCGGCGGCGTGCCCGAGCCGGGAGCTGTCCGCGCTGCCTCCGGAAACGGCGGTACCGGGCTCTGAGCAGGAGGAGGGAAGGTTTTTGGACTGGGTGACTAGACATACAGCTAAGCGCAGGGCAGCATTAAGTGGTTTCCATCTTTCCGCCTGTTCTTTGTGTGGGATGTGTTCGTAGCTTTGTGGTTGTTTTTACGGCCTGTGGTTATCAATACACGGGATGCTCTCATCATAGAGTTGAGCAGTGTTAATATTTACAGCTTACTCGGGATGCTGAATGTGTGTGTTCCTTTTGTTGGAAGCAATGCTTGGTTTATCTGTGTGGGTTAACAGCAGGTTAAGATCTGCTTTAGTGTCTCGAAGCCTTGCAGCATTTCTGATCTTTTCTTTTTTGTGCAAGGTGTAGAGCTGTCTTGATAGAGTTCTTTTGGATAGTGTCAAAAGGAAGTGTGTGTCTGCCCTGGTTTGGGTTAGAGCAGAGCTAATTTTGCCCAGTGACACTGTATTTATATATCTGTGCTAACAAGTGGTCAGGAAAGTGTTAGCAGTGGCTTTTTGTCCTGGCTGTTAGATAGGGGTGTCGTTCCAAAGTCTAGAGCACTTCCAGTCTCAGGCAAACATGCAGTGAGACAGGGTTGGTGTCATAGGTGTAGTGGTGGTTGTTAGGAGCTGCTTAGAAATAATCAGAATCTGTTTAAGAAATAATTAGAGCTTCTGACCAAAAGGTATCAGTTTGGAGGGTGAGCTGCATTACAAAAGAGTGTGTTAAATTTGTTGCCAATTAATATATTTCAGTTGTAAAAAAAATATTGAGTATGCTTTGTGAAGAATCATGAAAGGACTGTGTGCACAACAGAGGTTAAAAAATGCAGAATCTGTAGGGCTGAGAAAAGGTTTTATCTGCTTCTGGTTTAAGTTTGAAATTTATTTCTGATTAGATTTTTAACTTTTCCAAGTAGAAAGGGTAAAGAAGTTTAAATGTAGGCAGTCTGTTGAATGTCTTATGTCTTAAAACTGAAGTAATTGAGGAGTTGTTGAATTGATAGGTAGCTACTTACTCTACGTCAGAATTTGAGACCCTCAAAGCTTATACTTTGTATTTTTACCACCTTTAATACAACATATTTATTGCTAACATAGTTGCAAGGTGGAGGAGATGGAAGGAAAAGTGTATGTGCTGCACAGTTTGTTCTTTTGAGCTGGAAGATTGAAGGTTTGTGTGCAATCCAAGAGGAACAGGCTGTCAACCACTGCCACGTGTTCATCTGTTGGTAAACATCAGCTGCTGGTTGGTCTTAGGGGAGGAAGACTGAATTAGTTCCAGATGGAGAGTCTTAAATGAGCTGAAAGAGTTCTCCATTTGATTTAGGACAGCAGGGCAGTAATTTAGGGGAGTAGTTCTGCTCTCATTTGCTGCCCTGCTTCCTGCAATGCGTGGAATCAGTGATACCAAATATGATATCACAGTGCTGCTGAGTGAGGGAGCTCTGTGGTGCTTAACCACTTCTGTCTGTGCTGCTCAGTTAGAGACAAAAGGATTCACAAAGCTGTGGCAGCTAAGACTTTGCCTGTAGAGGGGTACAGGGCTTTTTAAGACTTGAGAAAGGGGGAGGAGTCAAGAATCCTTTGTTTTTTGACAGATTCTCTTAAAGAATGTGTATCTTCCTTCTGAGTTTTGTCTTAAACTGGGTTAACACAGGTATGGAAGCTCTGACATGTGTGTGTCAGAGGGTCTGTACCTCTGTGCTGATTTCCCAGTAAAGTGGAAAGAGATAAGGGGGTAGGGATGGAAACCTTCCATGGCTGAGCAGCAGAGAACATGAGGAGTGGAAAATGTCAGCCTAAAGAAGCTGCTGTTCAGGCTGATGGAACCCACAGGATGTATTTAACTCTTTATGGTTTGAGAATGCTGCATGGGATGTTAAAAAAGCACAAAGTGGTGGATCCTCTTCACCTGCTCACTTGCTAACAAAATTGGGGCAGGTGCAGTGGCTCTTGTTTTATTTTTCCCTGCCATTGAGTATTTCTTGTGCTGCTGCCTTTTGATGCACTGTGATTTTATGGCCTCACTTGAGACAGCTTTTCCAAGATAGCCTGTGACTAGCTTCCCCTACAAGAGTTACTTTTTCACTGTGTGAGGTCCACAGTGTTGTCTGTGCAGCACCTCTGCCTCTGGATGTTTCAGGAGTCATTTGCCCTGGTGTGTGGTCGCTGAGGAGCAGAAGAGGTCCTGGCTTTGGCTCACCCAATGCACTCGGTTTTGCTTTGCTCTTAAAACACAGACTGCAAAACAGAGAGCAATAAATCTGATCCTGTGTTTGAACACTGCAGACGGGCTGCTCAGGGGCAATTTCTTAATACAGACTTTGAATCTGTTAGAGTTATGATGCTAATTAATATGGCATGACTTGATAATAGTAAAGGTCACTGTGTTTTTGTTGTTCTCTGTCATCTTCTGCTCTAACTTGCCCCATTTCATATCATGTGTAGGAGAAAGCTCTTTTAACCATTTAATGCCTTTTTCTGTCAGATCTTTTTAAAAGGCTTTAAGAATTATTGCAAGTACTAATACTGAACTGTTACAGTGCTGCATAGCAAAATAAGTTATGCTGCATTATTTACAAGTGATTAAACAGTGAAAAAGTCTGTTCAGAAACCTCTTGGAAGCATTTTCCTACTTTTTTTTTCTAGATCTATTTATCAGGGTAACTGTGATTACTAGAAGTTATAGTCCTGGATTATTTATTGCTCCCTTTGACTGGAGTTGATAGCAGGTTAATCAGTACCAAGGGAGCAGTCTCCTGCCCAGATCTTCTGTGCTGAGATTTTTCTGTTGAGTGGTTATAACAAGACATTAGACAGAGATCAAAGAAACTGTATAACCTTGAAGAGGCTAATTGTGATTAAACAGGCTGTGTTGACACACTTTAGAGGAAAAAACTTAAACACTTGAAGTGTTTTGTGTGTTCAGCTATTTTAGAATTTAAAACAAATCTCCTGTAGATAAGTACTGAGTGCTCAGTCTTGGTATCGTGATATTAGGAGTGCAAATTCCAGTCTGAAAGACAAGCTGCAGGAGTCTTTATCTTTCATAAACTGCAGGTGAAATGTGGCAGCTTTGCTGCACAAGGGATTTAAAATGTCATTACATTGAGTGACATGTTTTTTCCCTCCTTTCTCTCTTTTTTTTTTCCATTCTTAGGCAGAAAAATTGGAGTAGACCACATGAAGACACATGTGAAGTCTATTTTTATGCAAGATGTTGTTTGGAGGACCAAGTACACTTCTTCAGGCCATGGGAGATGAAGGACTAGTCCCATCACACTTCTGTCCTGTCCAAGAGCTGTTCTGTGCTAAGCCAGCGTTGGCTCCTGTGAAGGACACAAGCTGATTTCTCCACGTCAGCATGTCGGCTGTGACGAGCGCTCAGAGGCCAGAGGAACCTAATCCTCCTCCCCTGGAGGACAAACCAAAGGGAAAGTCTCTGTTCCACTGGGGTTCACTCTTTGCTAACAGGAGTGAAAAGTTTGTGATTGCTCGGAGCGACAGCGTGCCCGAGGAGAATGTCCTGAAAATAACCATCACAGAGACCACGGTCATCGAGTCAGACCTGGGCATCTGGAACTCTCATGCTCTCATCTACCTCACCTTGTGGTTTTTCTTCAGCTTCTGCACTCTTTTTCTTAACAAATACATTCTCTCGTTGCTGGAAGGAGAGCCCAGCATGCTAGGTAACCCTGCCTTCCTTGCTGCCTTTACTGCCTGGAAGATACTGACAATACCAGACCCTCCTGTAGAAAGCTGAGGGGCAGAATGGTTTGACCAAAGTGAAAAAGACCTGGACAGGAGCTGTGGGAGTGGATCTTGGGGCTGGGAACTCTTGAGTTGATGTCAGCCTGTAAAAGGGCTTCTGACACTGCATGTCTTCCCCTCACTGCCAGCTGGTATGAAATTCTGCTCATAGAGGAGCTGTAAGATGGTGTTTGAGAACTAAGAACTAGAAAGAAAAAGGTAATTTTTGTGTTGGAGGGTAGTGTGGGCTTCTACAAGTAATGAAATCTTGAGTCAGTTGTTGATAGTCTTCAGAGCTGTTAAGATTTCATTTGTCTGTGAAGTGCAGAAGTTGCCCTGGTGTGATCTCTGTTATCCAGTGGGCTGCTTATCCCTTTTTTTCCTTTGAAGGGGGAAGCAAAGGGCACTTTATCTGTCAATCAGATTTTAAGGCATATTCCATCTTTTTTATTCTGCTGCCTTGCTGGTAATGTAGAAGTAAAGGGCTTTTGTGAGGGTTTATAAAATCTAGCTGGCAGTGGCTACACAGAAGTTTATCTAAGAAATTTTCTTTTGTTGCTTGATTTGTCACGTTCCCATCATCTTCTGATTTGACTTTTTTTCCCCTCTCATCTTTCTTTAGGTGCTGTTCAGATGCTTTCAACCACCTTCATTGGCTGTATAAAAATGTTTGTTCCATGCTGCTTGTATCAACACAAAACTCGCTTATCTTATCCACCCAACTTCATCATGATAATGCTGTTTGTTGGGTTAATGAGGTAAATGGTTAAAGATTTCCTAAAGATCTGCCTGGTTGCTTAATTGCTTGCTTCTCAGTGGAAGCTGCATTTTCATGGCTCTCTCCCTTTTTTTTCTTGACTGGAAAGGGTTTAAGTATTCACCTTTCCCCCCAAAAAAAACCACAGGATAATTTTATTTCCTTCTGCTAAATGCTGAGTTCCTTTTTCCAGACATCAATTTTTTGGCAAGCTTGATTCCCATCACATTTAGTTTTCAGAACACACTTCTCTTGTCTTTCCATTCACCTTAGTCCTGTTCTTTTTTGAGGCTGGTGGTGGTTTAGTGTACCAGTATTAATGATGAGATTGCTTTGTTCCCTGACCTCTGTCAGTTGGCCTCAAAAGTGATACAGTCTATTAACATTTATCTTTTTAAAAGTAAATATTTGCTGTGTGCTGGGGTAGTGTCAGTTTGTGGTCTCAGGGAGAGTAAGAATATATGATGTGGTTTGCATGGTAAATATGTAGTGTACACACTAATAATGGTTAACTGTAAGTGATAAAATTCCCTTGGTGAATTAGTTTATCAGTAGAATTCTACTAATGTTTCTAAGTGAGCCTGTTGAATACTTGAGCTTATAACACTATCAACTGAAACTTGATTAGAGCACATTAGAAAGTAAATTTTGCTTTCTGAAGTGCACTGTACATGCATAGAAATGGCACAGTGGCCCAAGGGTGCCTTATTTGTGCTAAACAAATAATAATGGTGGAAAGGTGAATAATAAAGTGGAAAGCAATGATCTGACACGTGGCACCTGGCAGGTGCTGAGCAGTAAAGGTGCAGAAACTATAATGCAAGTCTTTTTTACACTAGATGTCTAAGAGTAGCTACTAAAGCATTATTTTCTGCTTAATTCCATCTGTTAACTTACAGATTTGCAACAGTTGTCTTGGGTCTCGTCAGCCTGAAAAATGTGGCAGTTTCATTTGCAGAAACTGTTAAAAGCTCTGCACCTATTTTTACTGTTATCATGTCTCGGATGATATTAGGAGAATACACTGGTAAGTACCTCACTCTGGAAATGGCATTTTTTTTGTTTGTTTTCTGTGGCTTTTGGATTTTTGTTTGTGTGTATGTGTGTGTGTAATACTGTCACTTAATTTGCCCTGGATGAGAAGATTCCACTGAAATACAGTAAATGCAGGAATCATTCTGTTTGCCTGCAATAAGCAGAGTCTACATGAAGTAAAGAAGGATTTATTTTAGTGTGGCTGTGTAAGGACATTGTTGCTCTGAAGTTATTTTTCTGTCAAGAAAATATTGCAGCCTTAACTGAAATTTAGTGTGTTCCTTCTTAGAAGGACAGCTTGCTGCTCAGAATTTAAAGTTCTTTAACTTCTTAATTTCTGGGTTCATCCTGTGCTTAAAAAAAACCCCCAACCAACCAAAAAACACCAAAAAACCACAAAACAAGCAACTGGCTAACTACAATATAGTTCCTTCCATTTCACAGTATCATTTCATTGTGATTGCATTTTATTTTAACTAAAGAAGTTAAGGTGGAATTGAAATTTCCAAAAACTGTATTATCTGCTAATTGGAATTTAGAGTGAGACTTAAATTTCTCCTTTCCCTTGCAGGGTTGCTGGTTAACCTCTCTCTCATTCCTGTGATGGGTGGGCTGGCTCTGTGTACAGCTACTGAAATCAGTTTTAACATTCTGGGTTTCTCAGCAGCTTTATCCACTAACATCATGGACTGGTAAGGTGCAGTCATAGCTGCTTATGTGGGATAAAGGGATTTTATTTGGTTAAAGAAAACTGTTGCCTGGAGTGGTTTTTGTACACTATATTTTAATGTTCATATTTCAAATTTGTTTTTAACAGAAGAAAGCTTCACACCTACTATAACTAATGAGGTTAAAAAATACTACAATTCTGTTACTCTAAAGGAGTTAAACTCCTTTCTGTTGTAAAATGAGTAGAAAACATATCTACCCATCTTGGGGAAACAACTGCCTTTCATATGAATTATTTGTTCTAACTGAAATACAGATAAATTGTGTTGTTTTCTTTTTCCCAGCTTGCAAAATGTCTTTTCCAAAAAACTACTCAGTGGAGATAAATACAGATTTTCGTAAGTATTAAAAATATTTCAGGTTTCATTATAGGTGGAATTTGAGCTGCATTAAAAAAAACCCCTGTATTTATGATTACAGTGCACCAAGGTGTTGTGTTTTGTTTTTGTCAGACTGCTCACAGGCAGCTTTAACCTAAATCATCTTATCAGGAGAAAGAAAACTCCTCTATGCTCAGATCCCACTGCAGTGGGTTGAGTCCCATAATTGGGTAAAACTCCCACCACACCCAAAATGAGTCATCTTTTCATGGAAATAAGTCCTTATTTTGCAATGATAAAACAACATCTAGCATTATTAGGCATGCAGAAACAAACTCCAGAACTCACTCAATGTTTTAACTGTGAAGTATGAGCCAGGAGTGGATTCTTGTGGTAAAATACATACGTATAGCTATGGGTGTATTTTACCACAAGAGAAAATGGCAGTTTTGGTCTTGAAACCATGTGCCTTTTATTTTCAGCCAACAGAGAAAGCAAAATACTGTCTCTGCAAGAGATTGCTGAATTGGGTGTCCTCAAAGCTTGGTAGATGGCTCTTATTGCTTCTTGATATCTGTAAATACAGTAATGATGCAACTTTGTTCAGCTCTAAGAAAGCTTTTAATCATTCTGATATTTGTTTTTTCTCCTTTGTAGAGCCCCAGAGCTCCAGTTCTACACAAGTGCTGCTGCAGTGGTTATGCTTATTCCAGCTTGGATATTTTTCATGGTAATTTGAATTCACTAACACAGATCTGTTTTCTTTTTGGCTTTTGAGCAGAATGTATAGCCAAGAGTAATCTTAATTTTTGCTTTTCATTCTTCCCTTTTTTTAATCACCCTGAAATGCATTTCATCTTATATTTGCAAGAGATTGGGAGGGGTAAAAAAGAAAATCTTCAAAGAAATCATTTAATACAGACATAAATTGACAGGTGACCCAGAGAGCTTGACTTTTTCTCAGGATTTTTGAGATCAAACTGTAATCTTGCCAAAGTGCATTTAAAGCCTTAGATAAAGTCTTGAAAACCCATCTTCAGTATTTGTTGACTTTTTGCTGATATTTATATGGTGTACAGGAATATTAACTTTCTGAAAGCAAAATTGACCTGAAGTAAGTATAATGTATCTGGTTATCTATATATCCTGCATATTCTGGCACTTCATTGCCATACATGGGTGTCCAAAAAGGAAAATATCTCACAGGCAGGCTGAACACAGTGGCAAGTTCTATCAGATGAGAGCTCTTTTATAGTATTTTCTTGGAGGGGGTGGAATATGTAGGATCTAAATGTCCTGTAGGTTTTAGGTTTTGTTTTGCTGAAGTTTAAATGTAGAACTATATCTGCTTATTATGAGTTGGGTGGAAAATCACTTTTAGATTGAAGTCTTGACGTTGTTTTTCTTTCGTGGTCGTTCAGGATGTGCCTGTGATTGGAAAAAGTGGGAGGAGCTTCAGCTACAACCAAGATGTTGTCGTACTGCTCTTAATAGATGGAGTCTTGTTCCACCTACAAAGTGTTACAGCCTATGCCCTGATGGGAAAAATCTCTCCTGTGACTTTCAGGTAAAAGTGTTCTTGACATGAAAATAGTTTTATTTTCTTCTTGCTCAGTATTTCCACTGGAGAAGGGGCCCTACACTTCCAGGTGTCCCTGCTGCAGCCTCGTGGCAATTCACTGCTGCACACCTGCTTGTTCTGGGGTGGGTGGTCTCCACACAGCAGATGTTGGTATTTACAGGTATAGAAAGGGGCCCTACACTTCCAGGTGTCCCTGCTGCAGCCTCGTGGCAATTCACTGCTGCACACCTGCATGTTCTGGGGTTGGTGGTCTCCACACAGCAGGGTGCAGAAGCAGATGTTGGTATTTACATGTATAGAAAATTTCTGGACTACTTGCTACAGTGTTATTGGTACGCTGTAGGTACTGATCCTTTTCAGGTTATAAGGTGTACTATAAATTGGTTTGACATAAACAGAAGAGAGGTGCCAGTGCAGGGCAGGATGGGGGTGTGGGGGCTGTGAGGAAGCTGGCTTTGGCTTTGATGTTGCTGTCCCCTTGCAGTGTTGCCAGCACCGTGAAGCACGCGCTGTCCATCTGGCTCAGCATCATCGTCTTTGGCAACAAGATCACCAGCCTCTCAGCCATTGGCACTGTTCTGGTCACAGTTGGAGTTCTGCTCTATAACAAGGCCAAGCAGCATCAGCAAGAGGCTATACAGAGCCTGGCAGCTGCAGCCCCACAGGCTGCACAGAGTGCACCAGAGGATACTGAGCCACTCATTCCCAAGGATCTGGAACCATATGATTAGTGTGGCCATTTATTCTTCCACCCCAGTGTAACCCAAAGGAGCTCTCCCTGGATGTGGTTGTTCCTACAGCTGTTGAGACCGGTTTGGTTCCTTTTTTGTGTCTGGCAGGTCAAGCCTGGGACTTGAAGCAGAGAGAAAACAAAGGGAGGAATCCACTAAGCCTTGATTTACTGAGAAACTGGTGTACCAAACAGAGCACCTGATGTCAGAGACTGTGGTAAATGTGGGTGTTACTGTCTTCCCTCAACTGCAAATAATGTTAAAGCCTGTACTAGAGAAAGAACTTCAGTCTCTGGTGACAACACCATTCCTTTCTCCCTGCCCACCAAAATAATGTGAAAACTTGGACTCTTCACTGTATTCTGCTTGCTTGCAGTGGAAGCAAAGTGGTGCATAACTGAAATTCCTCATTGTTATTACTTATGCTGCCTGCATCATTTGTAGAGCTGGAAGAAGGAACCCCCTCTTCTCCAACAAATGATTTATTCTGGTATGCATTTGAGTGAAGGAAATTGTGGAAATAAGTCCATGCCCCAAAGCAGTGATGAGCAGCTATTTCTGACTACACAGCTAGGAATGGAAAGTGACACTTTTTAAACTGAAATGTAATGTGGAAATGTTGCATTGTGGCTGCATATTGACAGTTCTGAAATGGAAGTGTACACAAATATACAGAAACTGTATAAGTGGAGTGTGGAGTTAAATGTGTGCAGTTACTTAGAGGTAAAAAACACTGAAACATGTTGGTGGTAAAGGAAGCAGGATCTCTGTAAGAAACCATTCTAATGTCTTGTGTTTTATTATGTATTTCTGTTATGAGGAAATAGATTTTTTGGTATTATTTCTAAGAGTGCAACAAAATTCTGCCTTTTAGAAACTCAGGGTTATAATTCTGACCTGTGTGCACAGTATTTCTGTCCTTTCTGATGATGTAAAGAATTTTGGAGGTATCTGACAGATGGAAGAGGGGGCACTAAAGGGTGGAATGTTAACCATAAGCTGAGGCTAATCTTTATTCCTACTGCCTTTAAGTTTTATTTTTTAAGGAAATTCTGTTCTGTGGTAGATCAAAGATGAAAAGTTAACTTTCCTTTTGGAAAAAAAAAAATCTGAAGTATCAGTAATTGACTTTGGCAGAAAAGCACATGTAGGTACAAAAACATTCAAATGAATTTTTTTTTTGTAACAATTAACAATTAAAATGAGATGATGAATAGTTGTCTCTGAAGTATCAGTAATTGACTTTGGCAGAAAAGCACATGTAGGTACAAAAACATTCAAATGAATTATTTTTTTTTTTTTGTAACAAGTAAATTAACAATTAAAATGAGCTGATGGATAGTTGTCACCCTTCTGAAAGGTTGTAGCATGGCATTAGTAGGAAGTTACCTGTGGAGTTCCTGCAAAATTTAAGCCTGTGGTTCCATTTCCATGTAAGGTCTGTTAGCTGCAGTGAACTGTTCTGCCCAGAGCAGAAGTGCACTCAGGAGGTCTCTGAAGCCCATCCTGTGTTAGAATAACGTGTGATTGTTCTGTCCTGCTTCAGGTTTCAGTCCTCCATGTGAGTGGCTGCCTGGGGTGTGTTCCCTGGGGACCTGAGTGGGAGGGAAACACCATTTTTTTTCACCATTTTATATGTCATGTCTGTGTGACTTTGTTTCTTTGGACTCCTTTCACTTTTACAGAAGCTGTGGACTATGGGGGGGAGTTCTGTGGATTTTTGCTTTGCTTGAGGTTTGTTTTTTTTTGGTAGTTAAGCTTTCAAAAACCTCAGTGTATTTAGCAGGAAACAAAGTCTGGTTTGTACCATATTTGTACGCCTGCTGAAAGTCAGGCAACCAGAAAGCCACTTAGATTTCTACCTCTGGTTTCATGTAAACCCTGCCATCAACTATTGAGCTTCATGGTAAAAGTTATAAGGCTTTTGCCTTCTCTGTTGCTGGAGAGCTTTTTGTGAACCCAGCAGCTGGGAGGGTTTTGGAACTTGTGGTTTCCAGCAGGTCTGAGGTTATTGGTGGCTGGTTCAGCCCCAGCTCAACAATCCTGTTTCACTGGGGGCTTGTTTTCAGCCTCGACCTTCTGTACTTTCCTGTGCAGTCTTCTTGACCTTTGATTTTTTATTTTTAGATTAAACAAACCAATCTCTTTCCTGTCCACTTGTAAGACCTTTTCTTTGTCCAGTCATACTGGTAATTCTCCTTTGCCATTGTTCCTGTTGGGTAAACAAGGACCATCTTGTTCCATGCTAAAAACTGATGACAGTGTTCCACCCCAGCTCTCTCCCTTCTAGCTTTGTGTGGCAGCAGTAATTCTGCTGGACTTCCTCTGAAAGTATTTTCCTGATTCAGTGCAGGTTCTTCACAGCCCTGGCATTCGTCCACTGATCAAGACAAGCTCTGTGAGCTCAAGCTATGCTGGTTATTTGGTTCAGGTTTGTCAAGCCTGTCCTCATAAAACAGCTCTTCTTTAACGAGAATTCCTGAGGTAACACGAGTGCCTGCTGAAGAACAGACTTGTGAACATCAGGTGTTGCTTGTTTCTAAAATGGCATTATTTCCCAGATGAAGGGATGGCTCATTAAGTGGCTGTGCATAATGACTGTTTCTATCTTGTATGGCGTTGTAACTGGTTAAATAACCTCACCAGCTTAAGGATAAACGTGTTCAGTTCTTAACCTGTCTCCCTGTTCAGGACGTGCCCTTCTCTCCCTGCACTGATGTGGTGGTTTTGTTGCCCTTCTGTGACCTGTCCAATGCCGTTTGGAATCGTGCTTCGTTCAGATGGATGGTAATAAAGCGGAACGTTTTGATACACGAATACAAGGGTGACCGCTGCTCCTGCCCCGGGGGGTGGCGGGTTCGGGGCGGGTGCCCCGCGGCCCCGGGGCAGTTTTTGGGGCGCTGTGTGGG